CCACACCCTGAACTGACCAACCCCCACACCCTGAACTGACCAACCCCCACACCCTGAACTGACCAACCCCACACCCTGAACTGACCAACCCCACACCCTGAACTGACCAACCCCACACCCTGTTCCCCGCCTCCCCCCGCTGCTTTGTACTGTGGGTGGGAAGGGGGGAGGGAGTGGGGAGAAGATCGGTGTCTTTGAGGGTTTTATTTCTCAATCTCCTCCTCTGACTTTGTTAGTAATAAATCCACTTCATAATTTAAGTAGTGCCTGTTTTGTTCATCAAGTGTCTCCTCCCTGCTCCTTATTTCAACTCATGAACCTTTTTGTTAGTTTTTTTTTCCCCTTCGCTCTTCTTTACCCAACGTGGTGGTGGGGGAGAGCGAATGAGCAGGTGTTGTGGGTGCATGGCTTTTGGCCAGCATTTTAAACCACGACACCTTAAGAAGAGACAACTGAGAAGGGACCTCATCAACATCTGCAAGTATCTGAAGGRTGACAGAGGATCCAGGCCTTTCTTGGTGGTGCCCAGCAACAGGACAAGAGGCAATGGGCTGAAACTGATGCATGGCAAGTTCCATATGAGGAAATGAGGAAAAAATTCTTCACTTTGCAGATGACCAAGCATTGGAACAGGTTGCTCAGAAAGGGATTGGATTCTCTCTCACTGGGGATATTCAAGAAGCATCTAGCCACAATCCTATACAACTTGGTCTAAGATAACCAGGCTTGAGCAAGCAGTTTGGACCAGAAAATCCATTGTGGCCCCTTCTAACCTGACTGAATCTGTGGTAATCTCATGCTTTCTCTGTAGAGGAGAAAACACCACAATAAAGCCACGAACAAACAGAATATGATACTAACTTTTGAATGTGAGATTTTTGTCCTGTGCTAGTGGAAGTGCACAAATGCTTAAGAAATGCTTCATTAATCTTAAGCCTGAATTGGAAAGTCTTCTCTGGAAAAATCATTAGAGCTGAAGATGCCAAATTCAGGCAAGCACCCAGTCTTATTTTAGGCTGCTTCACAAGCAATCTTACCTTCTTCAGTGGTTTGAGGAAAACAACACCACAGCCTTCTCCCCTTCCATAGCCATCTGCTTTTTTGGAGAAGGGTTTGCTYATTCCYTCYGGAGAGATCATTTTTGCTTTASTGAGAGATACAAAGKTGCGGGGATCGATGATGCAGTTCACCCCACCACAGATTGCTGCCTCACAGTCTCCTGGAGTCAAACAGAAACATACCCATGTTGAGAGGGCCCTGGTGATAGACAGAAACAGTAGCAATCCTGATTTCATTGTCCAGCATCTCTTCAGTCCCATTACCTGATCTAATGGCTYGCAWGGCGTAGTGCAGAGCAAACAGAAAAGATGAACAYGCAGTGTCAATAGTCAGGGATGGTCCAGTCAGATTAAATGTGAATGAGACCCTGTTAGCAGCAATGCTCATTGCTGTTCCAGTACCATCATAATGATTTATTTCACTCRCTGCTCTGCTGGTTATGATTTCATAGTCTCGATTCATGAGACCTGTAAAACATCAGATAYGTGTCAAGTTAACCCAAGGGATTTATAACTGTAAAGCTGATGGTATGTTTTTGTTTTCAGTGTCAAGAATAAATCAGTGCTCAGTGCATCAGTGCTCCTACAGTGAAGCTTTGCTTCAACACAAGTCAAAAGCAAAACTCACAGCAGTTGCCCCAGGACCCAATTTACACAAACACACCTAACACTTGAAATTCCTACCTGCCCAGGATATGACAAGCCTTTCCTGATGGCTTAGCTCATTGTAGGGTGCAGCTAAGCTCTATGTAGCCTGCTGAGAYTCCTGTGTCTCAGTTTGAGACTGGTTGGTTTAGTTTAGCTATGAGAATATATATCAACAAGTTGCACATAGGGTAGCTGAGATATAAATGTACAAGACATTGTACTGTATCTTCAGTTCCTCAGATGTACCAAATTAAAGGTCACAGCACAAACTACGTCCAATACTTTCTATTTATCATTGTTTTTCACACTTGGAACCAGTAAGACATAGAAAAGAAGAAGGGACCCTGTGAGAGCAGTTGTGTCCTCTTTCTGGGAACATTATGCTTGAAATACCTTAATCGCCAAGTCCATGGGCACATGTGGAAAATGCAGTACCCCTATTCAGAGGGCAAGGAACCATGCCTTCAGTGGAAGAAGAGCATCTCTCAGACTAAAAGGTAATCTAAAGCATTTTTCCCTCTAGGTACATCAGCCTAACTACCCCAGAAAATTCTTTAAAGAGACACTGATTAACTCTTCTTTAAAGAGACACCAGCAACAATATACTGTTATTCTAGTATTGTCTTTTAAAAGGCTTTCACTAGCATCTGGTATCATCTCCTCCCCAACTTTTCTGGTACTGACAAAAGTGGTTGGACAAGTGCACCTTGGAACCATTGTAATGCCTACAGGAGGATTGCTGCTGGTTCAAAAGGATATTTACCCCCACAACACCTTGGTGAAAGTAATACTGGAAAAGAGCACAATGTGGAAAATTGTAGGCCTGTGTAGGAGCCCAGAAGACAAGGGGCTAATGTTTGCATGTCAAACACTGATAACCAGATAGCCAGGGAGCCAACCAAGGATTGTTAGTGATAACCAAGAATTGTTGAGAGAACAAGGATAGAAGAGGACCATGAGGAGGAAGGGTAGGACTTTTCTGGGATAAACATCCTTGTTCTGGTCCACAGAGACATAATCACAGCATCACAAAATCAATTAGGTTGGAAAAAAACACTGAGATCATTGAGTCCATCCTATGACCAAATACCACCTTGTCAACGAGACCATGGCACTAAAACCCACATCCAATCTTTCCTTAAGCACCTCCAAGGACAGTGACTCCACCACCCRTCTGGGCAACTGATTCCCATAGCCAGTCACCCTTTCCATGAAGAATTTCTCCTTAATATCCAACCTGAATCTCCCCAGGCACAGTCTGAGGCCATATCTTCTTGTCCTGTCTGTAGTTGCCTGGGAGAAGATGTTGATCCCCACATCTCTTCAACCTACTTTCAGGCAGTTGTAGAGAATGATAAAATCAAGCCTCAGCCTCCTCTCCTCAGGATAAACATCCCCAGCTCCCTCAGCTGCACCTTGTAGTACTTATTTTACAAACCTTTTCCCAATCTGCTACCCTTCTCTGGCCTTACTCCAGCATCTCAATGCCCTTCCTGAATTGATGGGCCCAGAAACTGACACAGGGCTCAAGTTGTGGCCTCACCAGTGCCAAGTGGTGAGGGGAAGAATCACTGCCCTGATCCTGTGGTCACCCTATTGCTGATCCAGGGCAGGATGTCACTGGCTTTCTTGGCCACCTGGGCACACCCTGACTCATGTTCAGCTGCTATCCAACAGCACCCCCAGGTCCTTTTCCACTGGGCCATTTTCCAACCACTCCATCAACAAACAAACAACAACAGCAGCACAGACACAGGAATGAAGCATTTACCCAAGTCACTCTGCGGAGGGGGAGCAGCAAGATCGCACAAAACCCAAGACCTGCAAAGCTTCTGACACATTTTTAGAAAGATCTGAAAGAAGGGACTGGACATGTAACTAATTTGCATAGAAAGAGAAACCTATCTTCAGGGCAGGGAAACCTATCTGCAAAAAGGTACCCCCATAGGCCAAGGGGTGTGTGAAAATGAGAGGGAAGAACTTAGATAAGTCCCTACGTCAGCCCAGGCCTCTGGCAGTAAGTAAAGCCAGTCTAGCTTTATTAGGGCAGTGAGCACCTAAAAATCCACTGTCGTTTGCAAGTTGTCCAATAATGGCCAATTAGGTCTGTTATAAAATGAATTATCTATTTAATAGACACAAAATTAACAGACATAAGACTTTTAATCAGACTATTTACTACAAGAAATAAAACAAAATTAACCACTAGTAGATAAAATACAGTGCACAATAAAGACACCAATATTGCAGCTAGGAAGAAACAGTACAGGTTAGGATTCAATGCACTCACCACCAGATTGATGATGGGGTACACACAGAACCTTTTCCCTCAATTGCCAGGAAAGTAACCACATAAATTGAGTCTGAGCTTGCACAAGAAGATCCCCTACATGTTTTCAGGTGTAGGAGGCTTCTACCTCTGTGAGAATTTGTGTAGCTTTACAGTTTGTAAATTAGAGGGTCTCTATCTAAATTTCTGTCCCTGTCAGGAATTTCCAGACATCTCCTTACATCTTGCTCTGAAGCCGAGATATTTATTGTCAGCTGGGTGATCTCACCTCCCTGATGACAGAGATAACTTGCTGCCAGAAAGTTGTCCAGCCTGGTTTATCTCACCAATTCATGTGAAGGGGGAAGAATGTCCGGAGCTATGCACCAGATGACGGACAGAGCAGAGAAGCTCTTCTGTGGTAGTGGAAGGGTGCCCCCAGGACACAGAACGTTATCAGCCACATTCACGTTGGAACCAGGACTGGTGATCTCTTTTTCTCTCTTTTTCTCATTCTCTCTTCCTGTCTTTAATTCATCTCTTCCTTTCCCTCTTTCTTTCCAGCCTACCCATTTATCCAATCCCACTGCCATGTGCTGATATAGCAAGTAAAGGACCAGCATTCCAATTTCCATGCCAAGTGAGTAATTTACTACTAAAACTTTTCCTGCAGACCTGATCATTTAGTAATCTTGCATGTTCCCTTCCATCTTACGGGTGGAACATCACAGTCTGGCTTGGCAGTGTCTTTCCCAAGAATGGTTGGGTTGGGGAGGCAGTTTTAACTGTTTCCTGCTTAACTTCAGTACCTAAGCACAGGAAGAAGAGTATCAAAATGAGAACAGGAGTTGTACCATGAACTTCCAGAGTAGCCTGGTAATTCTTACCAAAAGTAACCAGTAGTGCCACAGCACAGTGCCATTACATCTCCAGTCTAGATCCAGCCTTGATCCAATGCTAGCTACTCATGGAAAGGTTATGAAGAAGTGCTACAGTCTTTGTGAAGTTCAAACACACTTTCTTTGCCATTAATTTTTCACCTTACCAATAAAAACACCTGTTTTTGTGCCACTGACACATTCTACAGGAACTCCTGCATCCTCCAGGGCTTTGTATGTGCACTCTATCAGTAACTTCTGCTGTGGATCCATACGCTCAGCTTCCATATTATTAATCCCAAATAGGTGGTTGTCAAATGAATTAAATCTGAAAGGCACAGACCAGAATATGATATGGCACATATTTATATATGATACATTTACTTCAGGACTCACAGTAAACATTTTTTGCAACTTCATGGAAAGCAGAGTAGTAACTGGTGTTTAGGCCACAGTTCCCATTTATGTAATTCAGAAGAAAATGCTTATAAGCCAAGAGGTTTCACATCCCACCACAAAACATGTAATTTTATCAATGATTCTGCATTTCAGAAGCCAGAACCCACTCCTGCCCATTTTTATTCTCATGGTTATTGCACTAGTACCAACTGGACTTCTCAGATCATGAAATGTGCAGAATGAGACACCCCCGGTTGTTATGTGGTCGTAGCCAACAAGTTATAAACAAATATTGTTTTCTATATTATTTTAAGACAACACAGACCAATGCATACCAATTTAAAACCAAGAAGTAGAGTATCAGCTCACGTATTTTCAAAAACACCCATGCTTCTCAAAATATTATTCAAAATACTTGGTGTGTATGTATTGTGTGTGTTTGTCTGTAAAAGCATCTTCAAATTAAGCCCCCAAAAATAGACCAAATCCAAATTTAATCTTGTATCATCTCCAGATCAGATTTGTATGGCCTTGTGTCATGTCTTGATTTCCATGCAGGATTCAGTATCTAACATGGGACTGAGCCCTAAATTAATTCTGGGTCCTATTACAAAAATCAGTGGTGCAAAGCAAAGAGACTCACTCATCAAGAAGAGCAGCTCGTGTTGTACATATTTTTCCTGGCTTGTTTCCATCTGGATCATACCACTCCTTGGCATTAAATCTCTCAGGGGGGATTTCTACGGTGCAGTTTTTGCCCTCCTCCAGGATTTTCCAGAAATTGTCAATTCCTTCTCCTGTTGGACAAAGTTTTAAAAGAAATTAAATGATGCACTCGTCCTCTCTTTGAAGACTCAGAAAAGCACAATTAGCTACCAGGACCTCCCACCTGTCAGAGGCTGCTCAAGTACACTTGCCACAGAAAGAAGTGACCATTCCTTGGTGAGAGGGAAATGAAAAAGGAGGACTGATCTCTTCACTGCTTGCCTAAAAGCAAATCCTTAACCACCRCTCTCCCTACCATCTCACTGCATCTTCTCTACCTACTGTAATAAAGCRGGAAGCTTTCTTTTAGGAAAATCCAACCTGTTTATATTACAGGCAAAGCTGATGATAATGTCAGGTCCTTGATCTGTCCTGTTCCTATGGATGCAGAGACCTGTAACAATGCACAGTCACCCGGCCAGTGAACACGGAGAAAGTTCAAATCCCACACCTATCCAGCTCATTGGTATGAGTTTTGTCTGCAGATCAATGCCCTGCTCACAGCCAGCACTGCAGGTTCTTGTTTGTCTGTCAGCAGGCAAACTCAAACMAATTCATTTTCACCACWGCACAACCTTTCAAAGAGATCCCACAAGCAGCAAAGCAACAAATTCTACTACGGGATAAACATGTTGTTTTCCTCCATTTCAACRTTGAGAAAAGACACTGCTTTTCAATGTTCACTCACAGCCTGCTTTGATTTTACCCCAAATTTACCTCCAGGAAAGTTGCATCCTATTCCAACAATAGCAACTTCGTCTGCAGTCTCGATCTCCATCTCTTKGGCTGCACAACACAGAAGCAGTGTCAGTCCAGTCAAACAATTMTGCATTTATCATTAAATAAATACAAGGTTAAAAGGGGAAATTCTCACAAATACACAAACTTGTTTAAAACTTGATTCATCTTGAGTCATCTACTTTTGGTTGTGATGACAAATGACACTGCCCGCACTTGACCAGAACTGTTCATTATTTTTTCTCGTCTTTAATTTTAGAGGAAGATCCCCATTAAATTCCCCAAACTCTCTCATGCACAGACATTTCCTTTTTACTGTTTGTCCTCTGCTAACAAAATGGGAAATTTTTCAAAAAATTAGATGGCAAARAAAAGAATTCCCTTTGGGATCAAATTAAATATCCCAATATAGAATTGACAGATGATTTTTTTTTCCTTGATTCTGGAAAAAAACTTGTCAGATGAAAATCAGTTCAATAGAACTAATTAGAAACTAAATAGGATGCCCTCCTCTAAGCCTTGCAGTCCTCCTGGACTTCATTCAACTCACAAAAAGAAGATTCTTCTAGAAAGGTTTGGGGGGGATTCTTAACAGTGGGGAGAGATTCTCATCTCAAGGATACCACAGCAGGTCCCAAAGAGCCTTTCTCAGTCTCTGACTGACAGCAGTGAAACAGAGATGAGGCTGTTACACAGACTCACACATTATTCAGAGTTATCATTTATTGGAGGTTTGCTTTGAAAGGTGAAATTAGGAATAAATGCTCAGAGTCACTCTCTGAAAAATTTAATTGCATTAGCTAAGACAGAAGAAGTTAAAAGGCCACCTAGCAAAAATAAAGAGACCAGAATCTGGCTTTCTAAGAGTAAATTCTGTTTTACCAATAATATAAATACAAAATTGTTATAAGAAACATTTCCTTTAAATTCTTTCAAAATTCAAAGGATTATTTCTATGCTTTTATGATTTCTTAAGTTAATGCAATTGCTAAATTAAAGCTGCAAAGTCCAACAAAGTTGCTTTTATCACAAAGGTACTTTAAAACATTTTTTCTAAATTAGCACTTAAATATCAAATAATAAAATATTAAGTACTTGCCAATCACAACATAAAATATATCTTTTGCATCCCTAGAACTATCTAGTGAGCTATGTAACTCTTACCTTATATCATCCAATGGGGTGGAGTAATAGGCTGAGTTTGTGGAAGTTATTTATGTAGGATTCTGTGTGGTTTTTTTTTAGTGAAGTACACATGCTAAATCATTGGGAAAATGCAAATATAATGAATCAGTGACCTGACTAAGTTCAAAACTATTTCCTTGAAGTCAKAAACTTCTTGAAGTCAACAAGGATAACAGTATGAGCTCTATCTTATCTAACACCTTACAGTTACCAAGTCAATAAATAGAAGTTATGTTGTAACAAACCATAGATTCATAGAATGTTTTGCATTGGAAGGAACCTTATTGAACCTAATCTTTGAGCCCCCTGCCAAGGTGCATGTTACACTAGACCAGGTTAAACCCCATACAGCCTGACCTTGATCGCTTCCAGGGAATCCACAACTTCTCTGAGCAACCTGTAAAGAATTCCTTCCTAATATCTTATCTGTAAAGAATTCCTTCCTAATATCTTATCTGTAAAGAATTCCTTCCTAATATATCTGTAAAGAACTCTTTCCTAATTCCTAAGCTACACCTATTCTCTTTCAGTTTAAAGCCATTTCATCTTGTCCTATCTCACCACATCAGATTCTAAAAACTCCCTCTCCACCTTTCTATAGGGCCCCATAGCYACTTGCAATCTGCTATATGATCTTCCTAGAGCCTTCTTTCTCCAGGATGAATAAGCCCAGATCTCTCAGCCTATCTTCATAGGAGAAGTGTTCCAGTCCTCGGATCATCATGAAATAGCCCAGTAAATTTTTATGATCTTMGGAATATGATTTAAAAGACAGTGTCTTTAAAGTAACAACTCAATTTGGTTTGCTCTTAATATCAGTAAATCTGAACTTGTGTTTAAAGGTCCATCTATTTGTTGGAGGCATTATGAAAACAAAGAAAAAACACTCTACAAACTTAAAACCTGAGCTGCTTTCTTATACTGAGCATGATCATTTAAATATGCAAGTACAAAAAGCTTTGGCAAAAGACAAAAAGTCACAAAATATTTCTGAGTCCACTGGAACATTAAAAGCCRCATTGAGCTTTCTTTCTAAAAACTGCCACCTTCTGAAAGCCAAACAACAGCAGAATATCCAAAAGTATCCTCTGAAGAGATCAAATTCGAGAGTCACTGCTAGATGCATTTTTCATTCTCCTCCATCTGATTTCACCCCAACCACCCAAACTCATCCTTCTCCTCTTCTACCTTTGTAATGGAAACACAGTGTTGTATTCATAGATGGTTAATAATTTCCATGTAGAGTGGCTTAGCAACAAAATCTGCCATCTCCCTCAGCACCCCTGGTTTCATCCCATCAGGGCCCATAGATCTATGGGTGTTAAGTCCACTTAGCCATTCTCTAACCCAACCCTCTAGGACCAAGGGGAAGTCTTGCTTTTTTCAGCCTTCACTCACCTCAAAGTTCTGGGACTCCTGCGGGTCATTCTCAGCAGTAAAGACTGAGGCAAAGAAGGCATTCAGTAATTCTGCCTTCTCTGTGTCTTCCATTACCAGAGTACTCTTCCGATTCAGCAGCAACCCAACAGTTTCGCTAATCTCCCTTTTGATGCTGACGTACTTGTAAAAGCCATTCTTTTCTAAAGCCCTAACCCATGGGATTCCTCTAAGTARGTCTTCGAGAAGGCCAAAGTTAGTTCTCCAAAAGTTTAGAGATCTAGTCCTCCTTATTGCTTTGCTTCTTCCATGCAGTATCCTGAGTTCTACCATCTCATAGTTACTACAGCCAAGGTTGCCCCCAAATTTCATGTCTTCAAMCAGTCCCACATGGTTTGTTAGAACAAGGTCCAGCAACCTTTCTCTGGTCAATTTAGGTCAGCTGTCCCAGTCCCCTCCCTGCCTCTTGCCCACTCCCAAACCAACCTGAAGAGGAGAGTGAGAAACACAAAGACTTGACTCTTTGCAAGCATTGCTCAGCAATAACCAACCCCAGATGGTCACAAGTCTAACACAGCCTAACAGTGACATGCACCAGCACAGAACAGAGATCTGCCATAGAGAGTAAGGACTTCTGGACAGAAGCAGGATGGGTAAGTAAAAAGCTGTGCAKCTTTGAGATAAATAGCAAAGGGCAAGATCTCAGTGCTTCCCTGTTCATAAGTGTACCTCAGCAGTCATCCTGAAAGGGGTGGGCAAGGGGTCTCAGGCAAGAGATGCAGCAGTTCTGCCTKTCTGAATTTTGGCACTGCTTATAAATGTGAATCTTTTTGTTAGGCTCAGACCTCACCTGACAACAATATTTTTCTATATAGTACACTGCATAAAGAAAAGAGCCTATGGCTTCCTACAGTCTCTGAAGCTCACCAGCTATTTTCCCTCCCAGTCTGAGCAGCRGCTGCTTCTGGAGCAAGGCACTTACGGGACAGAGACTGCACTGAGGACAAGGACTATTTCTGCTGCATTGGAAAACCACTAAGATATCACATTATGATGCCTTGATGATCTGGGTCTGCCCTAGGTAAAAAAGTTTCTCTTTGAAGGTAAAATACAAACATTCACAGCATTTAGTGCCAATACAGTTAATTTCAAGTGAAAAGCATATGAATTTGTAACTGCCTATGACCCTCATTACAGGTTTCACAAGAAAGTCACATAAATAAAACAGCTTCCTGGAAACATCTTTGATTTATGTTTCCTTGTTATGTTGAAATATTGAGAAAGTTCAAATAATTAATGATTTCTGAGAAAAGCTGTAGAAGTGGTTGAGTCAAGTGAATGGCATTTTGTTACACCCTATTTCACAGAAAATTAACCTACAAGGAATCATAATCTGATATTTGTCACCTGAATATTTTTCTGCATGATCTAAAAAAGCAGCAACAGAAAAACAAAGGAGAACCAAAACCACCCCTTAGAACCTTCAAAATGACAGAGAAGGTTCCATTCACAGATCAATATCATATAGCTCCAAATGAAAGCATGAAGAAGGCAAGACAGACTTGACCCACTAAGTCCCTAAGGGAGAATTATCTCACTTACCCTTGGCAGGGCACTCYTCACCCGGGTTATGTTTTCTTGCATGACAAGAACTGTGAGGGCAATCACAATACTGAGAAAGACAGGTAATTGCAAATGTTCAAGGAGGCTTTGGGATAGAAACAGCCATATACTGCTGTACAGGCATTCTCCACAGAGTTGGTCTGCCTGCCTGTTGAGGCTCCACRTCAATTAACAGTCCTCCCTACTCGGGTAGAATGAGTTTTTTGCTCTTCAGTTTATTGTGGTTTTTTTAAACTCAGCCCATTCACATCAATGCATCAGACATCACAGGGATTCGGAATAGATCCTGGCAATTTGCCTGTCCCTGAAGTCTTGCTTCTATAATCTTGTCACCTTAGAATAAGGCAGAAGAATTTGGACAGATAAATTTTTGCTTTACTGGCAGAATACATTCAGAAGACATTCTTCTTCTTAAGAGATTTATGGAAGTGGCAGAGAGGCACGTGAACTGTGGGGAGGGAGTCTGCTGCAGATTTAAATAAATGTGCACACATAAATTGAAACATCTTTACCTTGAACTGCTCACCCACTCTAGATGGTGACTGCATAAGGATCTACTTACATGGGAGACGRGTGTCTAAGYGCCTTTAACAGTTAATGGAGGTCTGGTCAACAAAAGCAATGGAACACTGTGGTGGGGCATGTCCCTCCCTTTTTCAGGCTGCACTTCGATCTGAGAAATGCTCATTAGGCCTCTGCCTTGATGAACAGCACCTACGCTCAGCTCTTCTTGAGCTTATCAGAAACACTGTCTGCTCCCAGGAAATGCTACGATCTAATTAGTTCCAGGGTTTTTCATGAAAAAAGCCTTGGAACTATTTTCCTTGCCTGAACGATGTAATATCCCTGTTCTCATACTTGGAAAGAAAGTGTGCCAATCTGAAGTGTGGCAAGGATGAAACACTATTTTGACTAACGCCCACTTTCRCATGACCCTATAAACAGTGCTCCAAAATGAGTCCTGTGAGCTATTCTGGGCTACAGCAGCCTGAGATCAGTGGCATCCTTCTGAATGGGGCCTCTCAGAGCCAGACAATGCTCATGTTCAAGAAGCTGAAATTCTCTACAGGTTTCTGATACACTGTATGTAACACAAGTCACCGAGGTAGTGACATCTCTGCAAATATTCTGACTCAATAACAAAATTAAGTTAAAACCCCATGTTGATAAAAATATACAGGCAAAAATAGAGCCAAAGAAGGAGACTTCCTTGTTTGCACCAGCAACAGAAGAAGATATTACCCCGACATGCACACCCATAATAAATAAATAGTTGCCATGAGAGACTGGATTAACCTGACAAGAGACAACTTCTCCAATATCCTGTTGGTACAGAAACGCTGTGGAGCAGAAGGGCAATGATTACATCAGTTGTGTATTAGGCAGAAAATTTCACTGACAGGGAGGTATAAAATTTCCTTCAAGTGAAAGACGTGGGGAGGAACTTGAATGGTTATAAATAATGTGAGAATAAGTGCTCACATTAGCTCTTGAAATACCTTTGTTGTGTGTCTAAGCTCTAATAAACCACAGTTCAGTTCATGTTCAAATCAGTATTCTTTGGTACATAAATATTCAAAACAATAAGGTAGTATGTAAAATAAAAGCTACCAAAAAATTTCAAGCAGATAATGGCTGATCAAAGCAGGGGTAAAAAAGAGGCATTGTAGTTTCACTCTGTGGTTTTGGTTTTTTTTTACATAAATAATGTGCACTTACAGTTCCTGAAGATCTTCAAGACCTGCCCGACTATTKTATGAGGACACTTATAAACATGTATGCAATAAAAAAGGAGATTACAAAGATAACATATTCCCTAGAAATAACAACTGATCAAAGAGGCAAACCTTTTGAAATTCTCATGGAAGTAAGTTGGGAAATCATTCATGTACATTAAGGAAACTGAAATGCTATTATAAGGATGTACAAAAGTTGATTAGGTTCTTCAGTAGCACCACGTTATATCATATAACAGCTTTCCAGGATTGTATGCAATCTTCTTGGGAAATCTYATGATTCTGAAATCACTGTCGAGACAGGATTTTTTCTTTAAGTCAGCTTGGAAAGAAATATTCCCAGAACTAAAGGAACAAAATCTGACAGCTCTCCTTGCCTCTCTGGTATCCTATACTGATAAGCTGAAATTCTCTTCATCAGTATGATGTTCAATTGAAACAGACTGCTTCTATCCACAGTAATACCCAGACAGTTAAAATACTTAGGCACCTTCATTCTTCCCAAAAACAAAAATGAAAAGTCAAATGAACCCAGACACCAGTCTCATGCAGCAGAGGAGCCACTCATCCTGCCAGCACCCAGCACRTGGTAATTTCACAGTGTCACTGTACACTCCCAAACCAAAGGAAAAGAAGGTCCTAAACACAAATAAACACCTTTTAGTCCTGGGTCCTGGTGTCAGAATAATTTCAGGGGTTTCTTTTGAATCTTATGTTCTAGACAGACGAGCCACTCTAGAGGAATCCCAGAATTCACCTCCCATCCTGCTGCCCCCATCACGCACACACCCTCATTGCTCCTTTGTGGGTATTTTTCTGAAGGCCAAGGGAAATGTGATCCTTGTTTGCACACCAGCTGGTGAAGGCACAGAGGGCACACATCTCTCACTGGCAGCCCCCAGCTTG